GAAATCCTAAATATCGATTTTTGTGTGCCACGTGGTATGTTAAATGCAGCATTGGTTCACATTAGATGTTTGTGATGTCCAAATTACAATGTCTATAGTTTTTTACGAATTAGGATCTCAAATTACCAGTATTTACAAGCTAGAATCTAAAATAAGAACCTCCTGTCTCTATTTGGTGAGATATCGCTACATTTACTGGATCAAACACAGTGGCCACAACCACCTCTTTCCATTTTTGAAAACCCTTACGCACACTTACTTCTGTCTACGACATGTGAATAACCAATCAAAAGCTCAGAATGTCATCCACATGGTTCTCTGAGCCTTTGCAAAGTACTTACGTAGGAAACCATTTCTTTTCATGGGAAATTTCAAACGATAAGGTAAGTCTTTAGTGAGCTTGAAATTTCATATTTTTTTAGACCCAAATACGGCTTAGTAACTAGGCTTGATAAATCATAGCTGAATTCTACGGTACTAATATACTAATTTATGATTTTTGGTTATTTCAAAATGTATATATAAAACCTAAAAAAATATTTCTTTTCACATCCTCCATGTGTGAAACTTGATAAGGCTTAGAAACCTATGACAAATGACAAACGAGTTCAAAGTTTGTAACAATAAGAGATAATTATTTTCTATAATTCTTTATTTACTTTACTTAATTCCAGAAAAATAACTGAAAAATAAGAACTTATGCAACTGAAAGTATTTTAACACAACAGAAAGTATTCTAACACAACAGAAAGTAGTTTAACATAACAGAAAGTATTTTAACACAACAGAAAGTATTTTAATACAACAGAAAGTATTTTAGCACAACAGAAAGTATTTTAGCACAACAGAAAGTATTTTAACACAACAAAAAGTATTCTAATGCAACAGAAAGTATTTTAACACAACAGAAAGTATTCTAACACAACAGAAAGTATTTTAATATAACAGAAAGTATTTTAACACAACAGAAAGTATTTTAACACAACAAAAAGTATTCTGTGTTTGGAAGACAGTCCTCTACCTTTCACCACAAAAACAGGTACTGGATGGGAATACAAGCATCCGTACCAATGTGTGCACCTCCAATACCAGATCCACCGGAAATATTTGAAAAAACAAAGTTATCTATAAAGTTATAGTGGTATCTTATGTATTACTGTTTCATCAGCAGTTTTTAGTCAGATATTGTAATGTAAGCTGAGTTTCATTAACAGTTCTTTATCACATATTATGATGTAAGCTGAGTTTCATCAGCAGTTCTTTATCACATATTATGTTGTAAGCTGAGTTTCATTAACAGTTCTTTATCACATATTATGATGTAAGCTGAGTTTCATCAGCAGTTCTTTATCACATATTATGTTGTAAGCTGAGTTTCATTAACAGTTCTTTGTCACATATTATGATGTAAGCTGAGTTTCATCAGCAGTTCTTTATCACATATTA